TCTGCTGACTTAACACAATAAAAGTTTATTTCTTGTTCAAGTCATGGTTACAGTTGAGAAAGCTGACTCAGAGAAGTGACTAGCCCAAAAGCCAAACAGGTAACAAACCAGAATTCCCACCTAGTGCTGATTCCAAAGCTTGTGTTCATTTCCTTATGCTCACTGCCCTGAGTGGAGGGACTTGCCGGTGGTATTCTGAGATTTGAATGAGACTATCTGGGGTCCCACTCTACCGTTCTTTTTATGCTCCATTATTGGATCCATGTTCCATCACCAGGAGGCCACCTGGGGCCCTGACAAGACCTCACTTTAGGACCCAGACAATCATTTCATTTGTTCTACACATATCTTTTTAAATACTTTTTATGTCCTAAGCACAAGTCCAGGATACAACAGACACAAGACAGACTAAGTCACTGCCCCCTTGCTGCTCATCTTTTAGGGAAGTAAAAAAAGTAAATAAGAGGTAGAAAGTAGCAGAGATCAGGAAGTTCTTTGAGATAAAGATTCAAGGAGCACCTATCTGCTCATTTGGTTGGAGATCTAAAAGATTTGAATGAAGGCCTGAGGGAAATAACATCATTCTAAACTGGAAGAACAAGTTCAAGGGGGTGGGAGGGGACTAAAATGAGCTAGGAGTGATAATGGATATGGAGGTGTGGCTTAGAGCCAGGGGATGGGAAAAAGAGGAGGTAGATTCCAGGAATGGGGTTGGGGGAGGCATGAGGAGAATGGGGAGGGTTGCAGGGGAATAATGTGATCAGATCAAAGACCTCTTGGCAAAATTCTGGTGAAGAATGCAGTCACCCAAACAAAAGTTGGTGGTAGGCTTTTGGTAGCAGTGGGGATGAGATTTGGTCAGGACCTGTGTTGTGAAGGAAGAGCTGACACCATTTACTGATGAATGTGGGATCAGAAGGGAAAAGAAAGCTATCTTCTAGGTTTGAGGCCCAAGAAACACCTTGGCTCATAGTCCCATTTGGTTTATAGAAACAGATTTAATGGTAAAATCTGTATATGGCGCATTATTGCTAGTCATTGTGTGATAATATTTACATGTATGTCTTTTCTTGGCAGTCAGAAGACTAGGTTTGATAACTGTTTAATCAGATTCCTTATATTCTTAAAATAGAGTTGATAGTATTTGTTGTGTCACCCCATAAGATTTTTGTGAGAACAAAATGAAATATTTATGAAAATACTATTCATACAGTTGTCATCTAATAACCATATTTTATATCTGTGTGGCACTTTCAAGATAAAATGTACTTTCTTGTGTTTAAAGTAATTACAGTCATCACTATGGTAAAAATCTAGTGGACTGGAATCCCTCTGACATTATTAGGTTGTGTTATTATGTTAAAATAGTCATTAGCACTACCAAAGGAGAAGTCACTGTCTCAACCTCTGCCTTGGCCTCCTAGAGAGAGAGCTCATGCAAACAAGAGCAGACCAGTTTTGAGAGTGCTGGGTTTTGGGCTGTTCCCCCACAGACTGCACACACTACAGTGATCAGTCAGCCTCTGAGACTGCCCCTTAGTGCCACCTGCAGGGAGGGAGCTAGCACAGAACCCTCACCATCTAAAATTCCTGACCTTCCTTGGTTCGGTGAACAGTCACTGCTGCTGTTTTATTTATTTGTCATTTTTAATTTTTTTGCCCAGTAGGATTTTTTTTTTGCTAAGATATTTAGAAAATCAGAAATAATTTAGTGATATTTCCCTTTCAAAATATTTAACCAATGCTTACCTTTTTCTCAGAGTTAAGGTTTACTTTTTAAATCTTTTTTTTCCTTTTTTTTATATATCCTTTTATTGATACATTTTAGGAGTACAATATAATGACATTCATCACTGGAAATTTGCACCTTTACATGCTCTCTTGGTTCTTATTTTTCCCCCTTCCCCTGCCCTCCCTTCAACACCTCCATCCCTCACTATTTACAAAGACTTTGTTTCCATTTTTTAATTTTTACTTTTTAAATCATTAACCAGGAAACATTTCAGAGCCAGGCATTGTGGTACATGGCTGTGATCCAAGCACTCTGGGAGGCTGAGGCAGAGGATCACAAGTTCAAGCCCAATCTGGGCAATTTAGCAACTTAAGGAAACCTTGTCTCAGAATAAAATATTTTTAAAAAGGGATGGGATGTAGCTTAGGGCAAAGGTCCTGGAATCCTTGGGGTGGGGGGAGGCAGAAAAACAGGGAGAAAGAGAGAGAGAGAATATGAATATGAGAGACAGATACTGATGGATTTATGTGTGCTGAACAGCAGAAAGAAGCATGCTAGGAGAGTAGGAAGAAATGCCAAAGAAAACAAAGACTGGTAAAAATTAACCTAAAGAAGAAAGCAAATGACTGATGGGGAAAAATAGACCAAATCCTAGGGAAAAAGCATTACAGTATACCTATTCTGAAAGAATATTAGCAAAGATTTTAAAGAATAGCTGCTATATGAGAAAAGACTTTGAAATGGCAGGAAAATGCTGCTTTTTATAAAGTTTGTTCAATAGTAAGAATGTATTTGCCTACCACACCCTTCACACATACCCAGGGGCATCCAATATTTTCAATATTTTTCCAGACTAGTTACTTAACTAGGCCACAAGGGCCTGACCATGCAAATAACCAAAAATCCAGAACACTAGAAGTCATTTTCTATTCAGACATTTCCTATAGAAATAAGTAATGTTTAATTTGAAGATTACTAGAAAGATTCAGTTTGTTAAAAATAAGGAAGTCAGGGCTGCGGATTTAGCTCAGTGGTTCTGGCGCCAGCCTTGCAAGCGTACAGTCCCAAGTTCAATCCCTGGTACCAAAAAAAAAAAATAAGGACATTGTAAGGAAATGTGTATTTGAGGTTGTAATTATTTTGTTAAACTTAGGAAAATCTCCACTATGAACATTTAACCCTGCCTCCCCTACCCCAGATCTTCCTGAAATCAGAATCTCTTTTTGCCACAATGAATGTTTCTTATATCTGTTATTGCAGTTAATTTACTTTGTCTGGCTTTTTTTTCTTTTGGTACCGGGGATTGAACTCGGGACTTTGCACTTGTGAGGGAGGCAGTGGAACCACTGAGCTAAATCCCTGGCCCAGTCTGGCTTATTTTTTATGAACTTTACTACTATGAAAATAATCTGTGTTGGCATGGAGTTGGTTTTTTTTTTTCTTTTTTGGTGGTGCTGGGGGTCAAACCCAGGGTCTAAAACATGCTAGGTGAAGTGCTCTATCACTGAGCAATATCCCCAGCCCTGGATCTATTCTTATTTGTATGTTGGAAGCTCAATGAAGACAGAGATCATGCCTTGTCTATAAAACAGTATTGCTGGGCGTGGTGGCACATGCCTGTAATCCCAGCACTTGGGAGGCTGAGAGGCTGAAGCAGGAGGATCACCACAAGTTCCAGGCCAGCCTAGGCTACATAGAGTTCAAGGCCAGTCTGAACTACATAGCGAGACTCAAAAAACAAAAACAACCCAGTATTACGACAATTAACAGCACAGGCCTTGTAGTCAAACACACTTAAGTTTGAGTCTTGTTTCTGGTACTCCTCAGTTAAAATACAAAGTCTTTTAAGACCTTGCTTAGTCTCAATATTCACATCTATAAAGTTGAGATAATAATGCCTATTTTGGTCAGACCATTTGTGAACATTAAACAAGAAGATATATAAATGCACTTAGCCCAATGTTCAGCACATACAAGTATTCAACCAATGTTAACTATTATGTATATGTCTACCTTGAATCCTGCTATGTAGCAAGAAGAAAGCACTCAGATCTTTGCTGAACAAATCATGGCTGAGAAAAGGAAATCATGAAAGAAATCCAGGGGCAGCACCCTTGACTTATTATAACTTTATTTTCCTCTGTGTTAAGATTTGTGGTCCAGGAGACAGCTGTAGAGGCTGGAGTACTGCTTCCAGCCCACCTGAGCCTTGTTGGCGGTGGGGTAGGAAGAAAAAGTCTGTTAGTACCAGGCCCTCTCTGGAAGTTCTGAGCCTCTCCTGTGAGTTCCAATTCAATCTTCAGTTTCTTTGCCTCCTCCTCCTGGTCACAATGCCTCTGGAGAGTCTCCTGGAGATGGGAACTTTATGTGACTAACCTGCACCTTCAGGGAGTTAGGGATCTTAGACACCATCTCCAGCATGAAGCACTTCCTGTTTCCTGGTCCAAGAGTCTCTCCTGCAGTAAAAACAGAGCTTACTGCTCTACTGTAGCTACCAGCTTTAACTTGTCCCCCTTGTGGCTTGCATGTGACTTTATGCAATGACTATTACATTGAATTCCACTGAAGCAGGTGTTAGAGCTGCAGCCTAGAGCTGAGCCCTGAACTCAGATCTTGCTCTGAATTCCAAGATACTACCTGAGTTCCCAGAACTTTAAGTTACATACTTCTGCTTGATGTAGGAGAGCACAGCCCCTGGGCAATTAGCCTGTGGTACATTGTTTAAGATTCGGTAGTTCTCAGCAATAGATTTCAAAACTCTGGAGTAGGGGTGGGGGGATACGACTTTGTTTAGGGAACAAAGATTTACAAAATATTAACATCAATTTTTTCCCTCTCTATAATTAAAGTTCTTTTTTCTTATCACTCTGCTATTCCATAGGAACATGATAGAAAATCAATACCTGTAGTCCCTGGAAACAATCTGAAAGAATTCTAACTCTTTTAGCAAACAGCTCATTTAAACTTTAGTAGTCATATAAAATTAATAAAGTAATAATTTACTTGTTCCAAATATTACTATTCTGGATTGTCTAACATGTTAAAATTTTCCAAAATATAATAAAACCTTCTAGATGATCATTACCACAGGGTTTTTTAAGCTCTCGGGTAAAAAATAAGTATTTTCTAGTGTTGTTTGATTGAAATTAGTTGAAATAACATCTGAAGAAAAGTTTACCAATTGTTTACTTGCTTTTCTCGCTTTATGGAAAAAAAGTTACCATATTGTCATCAGTGTCTCTTTTGAGGCTTGGACCTTTTCATGGCCTCATTTCTGCTTGAAGAATGCTGAAGTGTCTCTTGATTTCATATGGCTTTTCACAAATCCTGTTAGTTTCTCGAATCCTTCAGTCAGCCCGTCACCTGTGATGGCACAGCAAGGCTGCACGTACCAGTTCCGGTCACTGCAGAGCTTCTTCACTTGGAACATTCTAGTAATGTCCTCAGCGGTCAGAGCTCCAGGAACATCTTGTTTGTTAGCTAATATGACAACAGGCACATTTTTAATATGTTCATTCTTCAAGACATGCTTAAATTCTTTCCGGGAGGCTTCCAGTCGCTGTTTGTCTGTGCAGTCCACAACATACACCAGCCCATCAGTATTCTCACAGTAATAGCTCCAAACAGTTCTCATTTTTTCTTGTCCTCCAACATCCCAGACTGTGAGTGAGAAACTGCTTTCCAATTGGATCATCTCCACATTGAAACCTATTGTTGGGATAGTTGTAACATCCTTAGCAAGCTTTAATTTATAAAGGAGAGTAGACTTCCCAGCTGAGTCAAGTCCGAGAAGAAGAATATGAGCTTGCTTGGCTTTCAGGGCTTTAGAGCTTAGCAGACCCATTTTAGGCTTTTTCTTCTTTAAAGAACTTTTCTTTTGGCTAGAGACGGTGTGTCCTTTCTGGATCTTGCATGAAAATATTTGGAAGAAAAGAAAGCAAATGCTTCATGCTACAGTATAGCCTAAGAGCAGGGGCCTACGTACATTTATATTGTAGCTTATCAACTTGACTATAGGCAAACAGTATTTTATTTGCAGTCCCAGCCAATCCTGAGAAACCTGTGGTGTAACCAGCCAGTGTCACAGTGACTCAAAGGGGACATTCTTTGTGAGTGAGTAGGATTAGGAGTGGCCTGCCTAGCTGAGGGTGCAACTTTATTTTCTTCTAGTTGCTAAAAATGGGGAGAAAATCAAAGGCTCAGCTATCCCAGGAGTAGGGCTTGGCAGCAGAATGAAAACAACTTTTTAACTTAAGTAATATTGGACTTTTTGTAGAACTTCTGTAGTTATTGACAATTTATCCTCTCCCAATTGTAAATAAGTAACCAGGCTAGACTGTAAAGAGAGCTTATCTTCCACTCCCTCTGCAGTATCTAAAGTACTTTCCCCTTACTCAGGAAATGTGAAACCACCCACACTTAACTGAACCTTATTCTCACAATCAGAGCATCACTTCCTGAATTTTCCAAGCTGAGTATTTATCCACAGAACCAAATTTATAGAGGGAAATTTATAACATAAACATTTCTGAATTAAGCAGACAGTCTGATGAAAGATAGCAAATTAAAAATTGTCCTTCCCAGGACTCCACCAAGTGATGGCAAAGAAATAAAAAGAGCATGTAAGCCCAAAAGGAAGAAAAGCAAAAGAGTCCATCAGAGATTGACAGAATGCAATAAAATTCTGGAAGATGGAAAATAAAAAGATGAATAATGCCTAATATAGTAGGATAAAGCTGGGGCTTAGGTAAAGTAGGTACACTGGAGATAGACATGTGCAGGAATGACTGAGAGAAGGGGTACAGCAGAGGAAAATAACTACAGGGCTAAAAACAGAAGAAAATAACTACAAGTCTCAATAAGGAACAGAAGCATGGGGCCAGGGATTTAGCTCAGTGGTTCCATCACCTGCCTCGAAAGAGCAACGTCCTGAGTTCGATCCCTAGTACCAAAAGGAACAGAAGCACTTACACACACACATGTGCACACTCACACACACACATACACACACACACACACACACATATCCCTGCCTGCCCAGTGACCACCCTGGCAAACAAAACAAAACAAAACCCAGAAGAGGTGTTTTTTGTTTGCTTGTTTGTGTTTTTGGTTTTGCGCTAGTGGGGATTGATCCCAGTGCCTTCACACTGAGCTGCATCCCTGGCTCTCTCTTGTTCATTTTTTGTTGTTGTTTTTGAGACGGTCTGGCTAACTCACTAAATTTTCCAGGCTTGGCTCAAATTTACAATCTTCCTACTTCTGCCTCCCAGAGTGCTGGGATTACAGACATATGCCATTGCCACCATGCCCAGCTAAGATTTTTCTTCTAACGAAATTGACCTCAGGAAAAACAATTAAGAATCTTTTTTGTGACAGTTTTGAGTTTCCCAGCATAATGTGTAAATCAGCATTGAGTTAGCCTATAGCCAACCTGGCAAGTGGTGAACCTTTTACAGAGTTCCCTCACAACTTTGTAGTGCACAGAAGGTTCTATTTTAATTTATAGCATGCCTTTAATGAGAGAAAGATTAAGACAAAAGAACTCTTCAAGAAAGTTTAAATAAAGGTGGTGCTGGGAAAAGAGCAACATTTTCATTAAGTTCTAATTAAAGTTTACATTTCATTGAACATTGTCATTAAATTTTTGTAGAGATTTGAGATATGATATCCATAAAGCAAGAAACAGCATATCACAATAATATATGTACATCCGTATTTATAACAGCACAGTTTGTAATAGCTAAATCTTGGAAGCAGCCCAAATGCCCATTAACTGATGAATGGATAAAGAAGATGTGATTTTTTTTATACATTGGAGTACTACTCAGCCATAAGGATAAACTTGAGACATTGCTAGATAAATGGATGCACCTTGAGACCATACTCAAGTGAATTAAATTGGAAACGTGTAAATATCACATTGTTTCTTTGGTGTGAGAAACTGAAAGTGTAAATTAGGACCAAAATGTATAATAGATATTGTGAAATGGGAAGAAAATGTTCAAATGGGAAGGGAAACTAGGGAGGGGGAAGGGGGAAAGAAAAGAAGGAAGGGAAAAGAATAAAATGAGAAAAGAATAAGATGGAAACAAAGATTTGTAAATAATGAGGGAAAGAGGGGTTAAAGGAGGGCAGGGGAGGAGAATGGGAAAAAAGAATCAAGATATATCATGTACAGGTACAAATTCCCTATGATGAATGCTATCATTATGTATATCTAAAATATACCAATAACTTAATTATTAAAAAAAAAGAAACAGGATGCTATTAAAAAGACCACTGAGAAAACAAAAATCTGACCTTGAAAACTAAAAACACAAATTTAAAAATGTTTAATAATGTCTATGATAGATTGGAAGGCAATATTGGAATTTTTCAGAAAGTAGAAGATGCAAAATTGAAAAGAGATGTAAAGGATCAACTCAGAAGTCTCAACAATTATAAGGTCTCATTTCAGAGAGCAGAAAATATGCAAAAATGAAAAAATGCAGGACCTCTTTCCAAAGCTAAAAGTTAAAGAATGAATTTTCTAGATTAAAAGACTTCCTTCCCTTAATGCTTAACAGTATGAAGAAGAAGAAGAGGTATCTTGAACAGTATGATATATGTTTTATTTTTATTAAAATAAAAATATTTATTTTGGTGCTGGAGGTTGAACTCAGGGGTACTCTAACACTGAATTACATTCTCAGTCTTTTTTATATTATATTTTGAGATAGGATTTCACTAAACTAAACAGGCCTTGAACTTGTAATTCTCCTGCCTCAGCCTTCCTAGTAGTTAGGATTATAGGTGTGTCTCACTATGCTTGGCTAAATATTTATTTTTTTAAAAGTGAGACTAGGGTGAAGAAAACACACATGATAAATTATGTAAGCTTTTTAAAATTAAATTCTTTTTGGAGTTTTTATAAATTTTATTAGTATATGTTTGCAGTGCAGAAAGATTATGTATATTCGTTGAAGGGAGTTAGTACATGTATATAACACATTTTAATACTTTATACCTCCTCTCCATCCATCTCAAATTCTTAACCAGTTCATTATATCTCAGAAACCAAAAATACCATTTTCATTCATTCATGCACCCACCTGTGCAGTAAATATATTTATAAACCACCATGTGTTAGTTGCCATATCACAAACATAAATCAGACTGCCTTTAGGTGGATGTGATTGGGGAAAAGATAAAATATATATAAACAAAAATAATATAAAAATATTAAATTATACATGCTACAAGAAAAAACTAAAGTGTTTGAATATTCACACATCATTTCAGGATAGAGAGCATCAGGGAAATCTTCTAGAAGAAAGTTAAATATTGAACCATTCAGTAGAGAAGTGGTGGGGAAAGGGCATTCATTAAAGAGGTCTGTGTGAGCAGAGTCTCAAATATGGAAAGACATGGGATAGATAGAGGAAAATGACAGTTTATGCACATGTAGTTTTTTCTACAAACATGTAACTACCATGAGAAAACAATACTATCAGATAATCTAGATTGTATGATATATACAAGACAACAGACCCAGATCTTCAAAACATGTTCTTGTCGGGCTGGGGATTTAGCTCAGTGGTTCCGCTGCCTGCCCCACAAGCACATGGACCCAAGTTCAATCCCTGGTACCAAAAAAGAAGCAAAATATGTTAATATGTTCATGTCATGAATAACAGAAGAAAAAATTTTAAAAAGGAGGGTAGAATTTCTTTTCTGTAAAGGGATGAAACAATGCTTTTCTCAATGTTAATTTTTATAAGCGTCTACAAATTTTTCAACATCCTTTCTTACTGTCCCAAAACATTTATGGATTCACTTGTGCCTGCCAAACCTGAAGGAAGGCAAGATGTTTGTTTTCTATAAGTCATTCTAGGGTTATGCCAATAAAGGTAGGATTGAGAGAGAGTTACGGAAGAGTCTGTGGTGCCACAGGAAATTTGTTTTAGAATACAAGAATGAAAGGAAGAAACATTTTCAAAAATGTCTTACCATGGACAGAGGAAGCAAAAAGTCCTAAATTAGAAGTTCAACTATACACTATATTAACCAAATGAAAATTTAAAAACTTATCTCATGAAAGACAGTAGCAACTTGGTCCATTATTTTTGTTCTTCACTGGGAAAGAAGAAAAAAATCAAGATGTGGTTGTATAACTGGCTTAGCTTGCGCAGTCTTAGAACATCCCATTTTTGTTTTGTCTTTTTTGAAGTAAACTTTTGGAAAATTCATCCATACTGTACATATAGAAATACAAAATTATAGATGTGCAGCTCAAAATTATCACAAATTGAAAATATTCCTGCAACAACCAAGGCCAGGCTTAATTTTATTTATTTATTTATTTATTTATTTATTTATTTATTTATTTATTTATTTATTTATTTTGGTGGTACCAGGGATCAAACTTGGGTCCTTGCACTTGCGGGGCAGGCAACAAAACCACTGAGCTAAATCCCCAGCCCCAGGCTTAATTTTTAATATCACATTTTGTTGCAAGCAAAAATTCCACATCTCTAAAGTTTCTATCCCATTTTCAGAAATATATTATGTTCTAGAAAAAGTCACTTTTTGTCCCAGTTGAGGTACTTTGATGCTGTGAAGAAAAATATGTTCCAATCTATGAAGCATTTTCAAGTGTTGGAAGCTGTCCTCCAGACAGAACCAACACTTTCATCCACATCCTCCAAACTGGAGTGACTTTCCTCCTTTCACATGGCTAAACCACTGGATCAGAATTCAAATCTAGCTGCTTGCACTTACTAAGCATCAAATAGTGATTAAAAACAGGGATGTTGTGGTAATTATGTTACATAAAATAAATGTTGAAAAGACTTATCACAG